ACTCAGTGTATGTGAAAAACAAACAAACAAACAAGTGAAGCTCAGGGAGACGCACAGCTTCAAGCGTTGAAGACAGTAGACGTGGTATGGGAAACAAGCTGAGGTATAAAAATAGAACATTGAGCAATACGACAGCTCGTGAATATGTACAATTTTTCATCGACGCGGCGTAATAAAGTGCGATGCGTGTGGGAAGGCTTTATGCTCTCCCATAGTAGAGTACCAAATACTCGAAATTGTTAACCACTTTTTATAAACACAAGTTCAGACTGCTTTCTTGCTACTTGTTTACTAATATGAATCACGAATATAGCAAAAGTGAGGCCAGAAAACATGAAAATGAAATCGCAAATGTAACTTCTGATATTTCATTCTGGGACAAGCTTTGATTTGTTTATTGTGGACTTGACTAATGGTGAATAACTCAAAGTGGTGTGACGTTCTTTGCAGGCACGATCTTTGTATGCGCACCAGAATTGTCATGCTTATCTTTATTTAACAGTACCTACTAAGCCACCAGTCATACCAATTTTTTTGCGTCTGACCGAATGCACTAGGTACAGCACAGGTCCCTGCGTGGTACCTATTTAATTCTTCTACATATGACCACTATGCTTGATACGACCAGTGGGTATGCCATCATACATTCGCTAATCGTAGAGGCGAAACACACTCTTAGTCAGTCAAAAGTTTCATTTCACATGGTCAGACAAGGTAAACGGGCGTTTGTGACGAGTAGGCTTATATCAGTAGGTACGTGCCAGCACTAATGGTAGGTCTTATGCTGAAACACATGGACCTCAGCGTACTGATAACTGGATTGATACATGAAGTCAGACGCGCTAGATGCGGCATTCGAAATGGCAAACATGTCTGAACTTGCAAGTATGATAACCCTTGCAAGTATAATAACCATTGGTACACAACAGCCAAACCTTCGGCATGACCACGTCTGGCCGATGGTATACTAGAAGACACGATGCCACAACCAGAACAGCAGGTAGGAAGGACACTAGGTTGGATCCCCCGTTGGCGAATGAACTAAGTATAGGGGAACTATACGCATGTGCATAGGAGTGAACTATGCAATAATGTGTGGGGTGTTACATCCTAAAAAACCCATTACAATCAAAAGAGACACCGTAGTGGAGGGCTCCGAAAATTTTGACCATCCGGTGCTCCATCTGTGCACTGACATCGCACAGTGCAAGGCGCTTTACCATTTCGTTTCCACCGAAATGTGACCGCCACGGCGTGGATTGAACACGTGACCCTCGGGTCAGCATCCGAGCACCCTAGCCAGTGTTCCACCGAGGCGGATGTTGAACTATGTATATGCACATGATTGATTGATATGTGGGGTTGAACGTCCCAAAACCACCATAAAATTATGAGAGACGACGTAGGGGAGGGCTCCGGAAATTTCCACCACCCGGGGTTCTTTGACGTGCGCCCAAATCTGAGCACACGGGCCTACAGCATTTTCGCCTCCATCGAAAATGCAGCGGCAGCTGCCGGGATTTGATCCCGCGACCTGCGGGTCAGCAGCCGAGTACCTTAGCCACTATACAACCGCGGCGGGGCTGTGTATATGCATAGACTAGTGAACGGTGTACCTGGGTACTTCGACAACCTGGCCTGGAAGTAAAGCAGGTCGACCGTCGCTTCGTGGAAGAAATTCGATTCCGGGCTACGGCAGCCACATTTTGGCGGGACCGATTAAAAAAAAAACACCCGTCCGCATAAACTTGCGTGCACGTCAAGGAAACCGGGTTGTCAAAATAACCCAGAGTGCCCACAACAGCGTGTCTGCTAATCACAACATAGTTATGACCCGTTAAACTCCATAAAAAGTTTCGGTCAGCAACGCATGCAGGGGGGTGGTGAAGAACAAAACGCATGCTTGCATCAAGATTAGATGACGCAACGAAAGCTTAGGGGCCATAACTGGCTTCAACAACTGCCCGACGTGAAAATAAAGCGCACAGAAAAGTACCTGGGAGCGTACGTCGTGAGGAGAGCAGGTTTCCAAAGTATTCAAGGACGTTGCGGCTTGGAGCTGCAGTTTTCCGGGGCATTTCGACCATAGCGGAAATGACGTGCGGGAGCAGCCGATCATAAAACGCAGCGCGTGGCTCGCTCGACTTTTCTAGGAGAGGAGGAAAAGGACGTCAAAGTGGTACTTTTTTGTTATAGTGAATGGCTTCGCTTTGCATTCGAGTGCATGGTCGTCAAAGTCACGCCCCTGACGGTGTTCGATTATGGAGCCAAAAAAAAAAGAGAGAAAGTGTTCCTTTAGGAAGGCTTGCAATATTAAAAATACCGAGCCCTCCACTGCGGTATCTCTCATAATCATATGATGGTTTTGGGACGTCAAACCCCTCATATCAATCATCACAATGATGAAAAAAAAGAGAAACATTTTATGCGTGTTCTGCTTTGCGCTGCAGGGATGACTCAAATTTTTTTGAATGTGATTAGCATTCCAGAAGAATCACTGTGCTGACTGTAGCGTGCTGTGGTGGTTTCCTACGACCATTAGTACAAGTGGCGAGCCAGTGACGTAGTCAATGGTGTCGGAAGAAAGATTAGACTCCCAGAAACAACGTGGCCTGTCAGCAACACTGGTAAAAATAGCAATGAAATAGGAAAAATGAAAGCTAGAGCTTACTTGGCTACTTCTCGTTTTCGTTCTCTTGTACCTTCATAATGTGTTTAGCCTGTGATAACTGTATATCTTCGCAAAATTGACACACGCTAGTAGGAATTTAAAGTAGATTGTAACTGCTGTTGTCATTGCTAAATGTTTGCTATGTAGGCAGAGATCACCGTTTTCTAATGAATGAAAGTAGTACAAAACATAAACCTGCTTAACAGCTACATAGAAAAAAAAAAACGCCAGGCCTGCGCGGTAGGCGCAGCTCAGTCACAGGCGAAGGCTAGAAGAGCAGCCTTTCAGAACCTTTTCAAAACACTTATTGGGTAACTACTGCAAGCACACTTACTTGGTACCCACTAGGGCATTAATAATAAACTTTTGGGTAGTAGGCTGGCATTCGCTATGCTATATTTTTTGTCCTCCTTCTGAGAATGTGGTATCCACTAAACACTCGCTAGGAATTTTGTGACAAATGTCCCTGCAGTGGCTGACGACGATGAGGAATTATGGCTGAAGTGGGTATGCACCACAGTTAATAGGGAAACAAGAACAAGCTTTTGTAATGGGTTGGAGAATTCGACGGCCCTATTTGTTACGCTGATCACATTGTGCGATGACTGGTTGTTCTTTCGCTGTTGTAAAACGCTTTATAAGTTGTATTAACGCGATCGCTTTCCCGACATCAAGCCTGCCTAAGGCAAGTTTGACAACAAATCACAAGCACCGGCTTAGCTAGAAGTGCGCAGTGTTGTCGAGACTTTTGATTCCGTTCCGGAGTGGCTTCCCATTCTTGACGCTTGTGTGTGTTTGCCTGACTTCTGACGAAGTATGTTCTGTGTACTTTACTGGTGATAACTTCATTCATTAAAAAAAAGCACTGGCATAGCTGAATGGTAAAATACCGGGGTAGCACCCAGCGGACCCGAGTTCGAGCCCCACTGTACCATTGGTGCTAGGTCATGCCTGCCTAAGGCAAGTTCGACAAGTTAGCACCGGCGTAACTCAGTGGTAGAATATTAAGCTGGCACCCAGCGGACACAGGTTCAAGCCTCACTCCGTCATAAATGCAACTTTATTTTTTTTTCTGATTTCGTGCGATGTAGTTACGGACATCGGCGGCGGCGGACAACATGCAACTGCACGTGACTCGTGTTGTAATCTCATTACAGCTTTCACTCTAAAACTACGCAAATAGCTATCGTCTAGACTGCGCCACTGCTGGACTCGTGACATTGACTTAGTGCGTAATAGCTGTTCTTACTTTCTGTCAATATTCATGGAACTGTGGTTGTAGAAACACACAACGTTTACAACACAGAGGAAGTTTGAAATAAAATTGCGATTCAGGGCAATAGCCACAGTGTTCAAAGCTTTAGAAGAAGTGGCACAAGCACTAGTCACACCGTGCAAAGTCTTAGAAAGAAGTGGCACAAGCAATAGTCGAACCGTAGAAAGTCTTAGAAAGGAGTGGCACAAAGACGACATGATAAGAAGGTATTGTCACATTACAGTGTCTTTAGAATAGGCGCAGAAGTTAACCATAAAAATAACTAACATTTAGCAGACATAGATCTCTACACGCAAGCTATTGCTCGCGCTGCAAACTATAGCGTTTTTTGAAAATCATTTATTCTGTGTATTTCAGTCTGATCATGCTTTTCACGATTGTATTATATACATATCTCTACATAAATGCATACATAACTTTAAGTTAGAGAAAAAGAAGAATGTTATTCGTCATGGCAATCAATGGGTTACGGTGCTCAACTGCGAATCAGAAGGTGGTGAGATTAAATCCCTAATAAGAATATCTGAGGTTTAATGAGCCCAAAATCACGACTTGACTGTGAGAGACACCGTAGTGGAGGGCTGCGGAAATTTTGACCACATAGGTTTCTCTAACGTAGACCAATGCCTGAGCTCACGGAGCTCAAACATTTTCGCCTCCATCGAAAATGTGGCCGCCGCAGCCGGGATCCGCTCACGTTAATTTCGGGTTATCAGTCGAGTTCCATAATCACTAGACCACCGCCACAGGTATGGGATCGCATCCCATGTCTTTTAGGCCACATTTTCATGTAGGCGGAGTGCTAAAAAGCCGTGTACTTTGATTTTAAAGAACACCAGATGATCAATGTTTCTTGAGCCCTCAACTACGGAGCCCCTTATAATCACATAGTGGTGTTGGGACGTAAAATCTCTACAAATATGTTTTAATACATTCTACCCAATAAACTGTTTCTTACACTTTAGCTCAGTTCAAAACAGAACGCTTTGTGTTACTAGCTAAGTGGAATGACAGCTATGAATGGGTGTAATGCCTGTTTCTTTCGAATTCCAGGAACAACTGATTCGAAGCAAGGGTTACCCTTTCGAGCGCCACAGTGTGACTACCAGCGATGGTTACATCATCGAGATGCACCGGATACCCCACGGAAGAGAACCCTGCAAGGAACCGTGCCACAGACAGCCGATCCTCCTCATGAGTGGTCTACTCGGTCGACTCGTCGAATTACGTGCTGGACTTCCCGAAGCAGTCACTCGGTGAGATTCATAAAGTAGACGCGAATGAATGGCTTGGCGACTTAGCGTATTTCTGAATTAGATTACGTAGCCTGGTTACTTCAATGAATGCATCACTATTGTTTCTGGGGTAGTGACGTTCACGAAGGCAGTAGTCGGTGGTTTCAAGACTGTACAGTTTATTTGGGTGAACCTTAGGTCCGTAAAGCTAAATTACACTCCACAAGCAATGCACGCTGCAGACTGATATCGGCTAACAGAGCGTCGGCCATCGACTATGTGATCCGCGGTAAAGCGTATCGGTATTTATACATGCGGCAACGAACATACAAGCATTATCGCTGGTGCCCACGTTTGTCCGAGAATAACCACGGCTGCTCACATTTGCGCGCTCAAGCGTAAGACACGATCTTAAAGATAATCCGGAATGCTCGCAGACATTCTGGCGTGGCTTGTGCAAGGCAGTATATGCACGTGCAATGAACCGGTCCCATAAAAAAAACATAGAAAGAAAAAGGAGTGGGTGTGACAATAGGATAACGTCTGCGGATAACCGGATTCAAAAATAGACGCTACGGCATACAGGCCTTTGCTGTAGGTTTCCGTGAGACATACGGGAAAATGTTTATAGCAATCGAGGGCATATAAAACTTGAACATTAGGTTGTATGTTATAACGTTCGTCAGGGAAGTTAGTTTTCCCTATTTATGTTGCCGCAAGTGTTCGGCTTAGGCCTAAAAAAAACTGTTAGAGCTAGCATCGTGCTGCAGCCTTGCACCTACTGGGGGTAAGGCGAACGTACATACTCATTTGACTTAACCATAGCCGGTCTATATAGAAATTATCAATGACTCTATTGATTCAGCCATTGTATTTCTATGTTCAGTTTTTTACAGTGAAAGCTGTTGTGAGAGCACAGCGCGGGTCACGCGCAACTGTCCGCCGCCGCTATGGCCGCCGCTGCCGGTGCTCGTAACCAGGGGGAAATTAGACAAAAAACTAGCACTAATAACACAGTGGTGCTCGAACCCGGGTCCACTGGGTTCCAGCTCAGTATTCTACCACTGAACTATGCGGACACTTTTTTTTCTTCAATGAATGAAATTATCACCAGTAAAGTAGACACAACATTCTTCATCAGAAGTCAGGCAAACACACACAAGCGTCAAGAACGGGAAGCCACTCCAGAAAGGGGTCAAAAGTCTCAACAACACTGCGCACTTGAGCAGATGCTTCTCGGAAGACAGATCTCGTCGACCGTGGTGGCTCGGCGTGTCTATCGATCATGCGACTTTTTCATAATGAATAAAGTCCCAACAACATAAACAAGCCGTAAGGAGTGTTATCAGTCAGACTCTTTTTGAACGGAAGGAACCTAATACCGTGAGCTGTGATTGGAAGTTCTTTTCTTAACGTTCTTTTTAGAATGTCCCAAAAATAAAAAGCGTCACGACAATGAATAAAACAATGCTATATAGTCTCAGGTTGGTTGCAGAGTCTACAATTCACTGTCCAGGGTACGCATACTGATTTTTCATTCAGCCACGTTTTCACTGGCAGCGTGGAAGTGTGCAGTTTAAAGAAAAAAAAATGTTGTGACTTGTTGGCAAACTTGCCTTAGACAGGCTTGATGTCGGGAAAACAATCGCGTTAATACGACTTACAAAGCGTTTTAAAACAGCGAAATAACAACCAGTCGTCGCACAATGCGAATAGCGTAACGAGTGGGCCATCCAATGCTCCAACCCATCACAAAAGCTTGTTCTTGTTCTCCTATGATCTGTGCCCCATACCCACTTCAGCCATAATTCTTGATCGTTGTCAGCCACTGCATGAACAATTGGCACAAAATTCCTTACAAGTGTTTAGCGGATACCAGGCTTTACAGAAGAATTACGAAAAATAGCATAGAGAATGCCGGCCTACCACCCCCCTCTCCCAAATTATTATTAATGTCCCATTGGGTATCATGCAAGTGGGCTTGCAGTGTAGTTACCGAATGAGTACAGTGAATGAAAAGGTTCTGAAGGGCCGCTCTTCTAGCTTTCGCTGTGACTATGCTGCAGCTTCCGTGCAGGCCTGGAGTTTTTTCAATATGCCAGATGAAATTCCAAACAACGCAAAAGCAGAAGGGCATTGGCGGGCTCATGAAAATAAAGAAAGAAGGGGCCGTATGAAAGAAGTTTAGGGTTTACTTAAGTGTGTACCTAATGAATGCTGAATGTGCAGGTTACGTTCTGGCCGACAACAAATATGACGTATGGATGGGAAACGTGCGTGGCAACACTTACGGCAAGCGCCACAAGAAACTCAACCCACGTTCGCGTAGATTCTGGAACTTTTCGTGAGTCCATATTTTTTTTACCATTGCTTGGTAACCTTCTTCTATCGTAGCTGCACCCAAGTATAGTAGTTGCTGTAACATTATGAAAATAGTTACGCATTTAGGCTCAATGAATACCGATCTAGATATTGATTAGGCAAGTTATGTATGGCAGTTGTGAAATTCGAGAGGCTGTAGTGTCTCACCATTCAAGTGTGAAGTGTATGATTCGTTAAGGCGATATTATGGTACTCTCAGATGCGGAAAAAAATATTTCTTTCGCGAATGAATAATGATTTCTTACTCTAACAATATTGTTGGTTTTTACTTGAGACTGTGGAAAAGAGAGCACTCTTGAAGTGCTTACATTAAGGCATGTTAGCTTAGTGTTTTGTTAGTATACATACCGGTAGTCCAGTTGAAGAAATGAACGAGGAATCAAAACATCAGTCAGGGATGCTGCACTGTCAAGTGAAGTTCGCATAGGAAATGAAAAAAAAAAGTGGCTTAAAAGGTACAAAAGTTTCACGACAGAGAAAACTTTCAAAAAAAAAAAAAAAACTGACAATAGCTATAGTATATACCGAAGAGTATAGTTCGTACAGTGTGATCGTGGTTGATCTGCACGTTACAGCAGCTTTGAGGTGGATGGCAATTTGTTTAATTTCATGTGAATAACCTTCACGTAAACAAAGCGACGAACTTGAATTGCGTCGCAGATGTGGCGATGCAGTCACACCTTGCCGGATAATGATGCAAAGTTTCTCTCTACAGGTTTCACGAACACTCGAAATACGACCTGCCAGCCCAGATCGACTACGTTTTGAAGAACACCAGTCGGAACGACCTCCTCTACCTGGCCCTCTCGCAGGGCACGCTGATGTTCTTCACCATGATGTCTGAGAAGCCAAAGTACAATGACAAGGTGAGATCGAGAAATGACCCACTGTATTGCCCAAATACGGAAGGAAGGAAGCGCTAATTGGACGAACTCTACAACTGGTATGGAAAAAACGCTCTCCGTGTATTTTTATGAGTTCATCTTATTGGCGCTTTATTTCTTCTGTAACATACACCACTTAGTCAAGAAGATGTTATGTTTCTATTGGCTGCATTTACTCTGCTTCATATATCAGGTACGACGCGGTGGCAGCTACGCGAGAAGTACGGGTAACAAAATGTATAAATGTGTGTGTCTCGCGCTTGGATTTTCTCGTTGTAAGCTTGGCCTCCGCGATTAGCTCCGGTTACGCAATACCGGAACTAATCGCAGAGGTTACGGTACGAAAACGGACACTAAGTGTTGCGGGACGACCTGTTGACAATCGTATAACTGAGGTTTTGTTTTTCTTAAGGCATGAAGTATCTTTTACATCTTCATTTATTATTAAATTTGAAAACAAAAAAAACGCAAAATGCGTGATATCTTTTTCCTTTTCTGAAAGAGGTCTCGTTAGTTTCCATATGGCTGTATCTAATGCTCTAAACGAAGTATAGTCATGATTTGGGACAGTATAATAACGGGATGGTAAGAAGCAGAGAATTGACTGCACCGGAAACTGGCTGTCCACCGTTTGCCTTTATGTTGTCAAATAAACATTGCCACTATAGCCAAATTTCTACAGCTCTTTATCTTCATGAGAGCACCAACTGCTTCAAGCCTTCCCTAAACTCATGTCCTTTTTGACGCAGGTAAAAGCCTTCGCAGGCCTGGCACCATTCAACAAGCTGTCGCACATGGATGTAGATGCTCTCGCCATGTTGGTGCCTCTCGCAGACCACATTAAGGTAAGTTGCAGCTGTGTAACGGACGCCAAAGAACAGCCTCAGCCGTTTCATGCTGCGACTCGATAATATTCAAACAACTCACAACAGTTTTCGAGAATGGTCAGAAAACTCTGCCTGTTGGTAGTCGAAGCTCCTCAGAACATGGGACTGAACGTTAGAGCGCAGCACGCAGCCTGGAATTTGAAATCAATCTCCAAAGTCAGCTAGCTGGATACAACTTTCTCTTCTCTCGACAAACGATGCAATGAACCCAATGGACCACGTCGTAAACACAAAGTCCGCGATGATTGGCTGATTTGTACGACGTAAGTGACATAGTTACCCCAGCCACCACGAGAAGCTGTGACATGTCTCCGGGCACACTCGCTATCACGCAGACAGTGGGTCGTGCATTTCAATGAAAGAAAAAAGTGCTTAAAGTCATGACGCTCGCTGACAAACAGGCGTAGTTTCTTACCCCCTTTTTGTCCTCCCCCCTCCCCCTCCCCCCATGTATAGGTTTCCGCACGCTTACAGGTACGAAAGGAGAAAGAGAGCACGGACATGTTTCTGGCGTTGTGCTCGTACTTGATTCTAAAAAAAGTTTGTGCGATAGTAAACTGTTGTATTGAAGGCATTTGATGATCACTGGGGAAAGTGTTGTAAGGCCCCCTTCATGATGATCTCTTGCGAACTTGACCGGGGGAAACTGTTGAAGCGTGATAAGCACGTAATAAGACGAGGCAGAAGCATAGGCGTACACAAGTAATACCGAATACTTACGAGTGGACAGCTGACCTTAGCGATATTTGCCAGGAGCTCGCTAGGCGATATAAGCCTGTGCTGATAATATGAGCAATAACGTGGCAGGAGTCACATAATATACGCACAATTTTAAAAACATTATTATTCAAATGCACTTGATTTTTATTATATTTTGATTTGACAGTTAGTGTATACTTTAGAAAACCATTTTTTGGCTTCATCATAGCTCGGAAAATGTTTGTTCGTGCTTATCGGTTCAGTGTGCTTCTATTAAACAAACACTGAAGTGAGAACACTTTGTGAGACAAAAGTTCAAGCAATGCTCACCCTGAAATTGAAGTGTGCGAAGACACCCTATATACCAGTGCCAAGTGAACCGAATTGATGTCCGTTTCCGTGAAAAACATGAAACAGCTATTTCGTTTAATTTTTTACAGAAGAATGCACATTAAAACCGAGTAATTGCGCTAACGGTGAGCCACGCCATTGACTTAGAATGATGAGAAGTGGTCAGAAAATATGTAGCTTACCAATCGCCCTTGTGTACTTCAGTGTTTCTCACACTGCTCTGAAAGTGCAATGCTATGCACGAAAGATGGCCGGCAGAAGGCTGTCGTCTTTCGATAGCGTTTGTTACGAAACACGCAGATACGTGGTCACGTTTTGAAATTAAAAACTAATAATAAAGCTTTGCTCGACAGTCCTATTACTGTAATGTCCCAAAACCAAATGGTACATGCTTTAGGACAACCAACAGAATACATGGGAAGTGTGGCATAGCTGTGCCACTCTTTTTTTGCTGGTCTTGTCTCTACGCTATCAGTCTTCGAGCGATATAACGCTGTGGAAAAGATAGCACGTCCGTCAACAACATCTCAATAGTCCATTAATGAATGAATGAATGAATGAATGAATGAATGAATGAATGAAGTAACCAACATTGCCGAACATAGCCGATACAGCAACGAAGGATGTTGAAAACTGATTTAACACTGCTGTTGTCTCTGATCTGCATGCAGCGCATGGCGATCACCCTCAACCACTACGAAGTCCTGCCCCAAGGGTCCCCACTGCTTCCGCTGGCCCGAACGTTCTGCGCCCTGCCCACGAGATCGGTTTGTTCCTTCCTGGGCGACGGTTTGACTAACCTTGGCAGCAAGTACATGAACGAGGTACTGGAAGTTCACTCTCTACCTTAAGGTGTACCTTAAGCATGGAGAAGGGTTTTCCCCATGAGAACGGTTAGACACACTTTACGGAAAATTTGGACTATACTTCCTTTTAGATTTACAAATTGCTCACAAATTTTTAGATTCTGTTAGAATTGCACAACCATATTCTTGAAATGACTGTACAATGGCCGTGGTCATCGAAACAGGTAAATGAACAGTGACTGTTTGCCCGGCATAATGCGTTTGTTAGAGCAATTTACTAGGATCAATTGACAAAGATACCCTTTCTGTTGAACCATGGGGTAATAATAGGACTATGTGCTTATGGTGAACTCTTACAGAGCCTTTAATGTCGAATGTTTCATTACTGTCAGTGGCGGCTGTGTCTTGGTTTGTGCCAACCACAAAAAAGAAGTTGTTGTGCAGTTATGCTTAGGCACACATGAAAGTATCTCGTTAGACACACGGTAACAAGTTTTTTTTAACCAATTGCACTGTTTGAAGTTAAATAACAGACTTGAAATGTCTTTTGGTATTTTACAGTCTCGAATTCCGGTGTACCTCTGTTACCTGCCCGCCGGAACTTCCCTGAAAAATATCGTTCACTTTTCGCAGGTACGTTTACAAATGACGCGTGCACTTTTCATGTGAAAGCCTGCTTGCACTTCGCTCGTCATAAGTCTTAAAACAACGTATTTTCATAGTTTATGAAGTAACAGTTTATAAATGGTCACAAAAGTTTCCCCAGAACCATATGCCGTTACATTATTTTGTTTTGTAATATTTAATGACAGATATATATATATATATATATATATATATATATATATATATATATATATATATATATATATATATATATATATATATATATATATATATATATATATATATATATATATATATATATATATTTGTGTGTGTGTGTGTGTCCAGAGGTCTGCAATCCACTAAAAACACCAGCAAAGCTTCGGAGCCTCCTAAACATTTTTTTCATGTACGCACAGTCTTAAATGTTTTGATGTTTCCTAATGTTCATTCTATACCCACGTACCTTTCATTCCGATGTAAAGTTAGTTTTCTTTTTATTATACGTATGCTGCTTGTTTTTATTACCCTGGAATGAAGCCATACGCTATACCGTAAACATTCAATGCTTCTGTGTATGGGTTATGTTAATTTGCTTTATTTGGGGTTACTGCTATTTTGTCAATACAGCGCTAGTTAATATACGGATTATTACTTGTTTAACGCTCCCTGTGCCTTATAAACTCCACGTCTTTCTCTGCCCTACAGGTTAACAAATAAAGAGTCATTGTGCTCAACGGAGCTATGGAACAAATTTTGAAAGCATACTTTCATAATTTTCTCGTGACATTCTTAAGCGAACTTCTAAGAGAGGTTCGGTAAATTACTTTCATGAACAATAGTAATGTATCTGTGGTAGGAGACCTCCAAGGCCATGATCCTGTATACATTTGTATAGATTCGAAACTTTTGAGCATGCATTTTAATACCCGTATTTTTTTTCTAATGTGTTAACAGCTGAAGTCAGCTGTGGAGGAGGAGGTAACAAAGAAAAGAGCTTCGTGAATTCTCATTCGCTAAGTATTAATGTTCAGTGAACTGGGTGATTGGATGAAAACGTTTATGTGGCCAATCATTTTTGCTTCTCTGCGTGAATAATAGATAAAAGAAAGTGTAATAAGTTTGAAACATTTTTCTCCTTTCTTGCTCGAAACAGCTCGTCAAGTCTAAGAGGGCTACCAAATTCGACTACGGCCCGGAAGATAATAAAATATATTACGGCCAGGTGAGTACAAAGAGCCACGGAATTCGTCACTTGTTTTCAAAAACGTCCATGATATTTTCAATTCTTTCAAACAAGTAGGATACCTTGATTTCTTGAATCTATGTCAGACGTTTTCAATAGACTTGGACAAGGCCTTTCACAGTTGAATTACAGCAAGACGCTCGTCTTCAGTGTTTAGACTCGACGCTCGCATGGAAAGAATAGCAGCTTTGCTGGTTTTTTTCAATCTCGAGTTAAGAAGGAGCTGTTACCGTACTATTCTGCCCATTCAAAGATTCTAAGGAGGGATGCAGCCTCTCTTAGCTTTTAGTCGGCGCTGAGGGGGTCGGGCCCACACAGCATGCAACTTCGTTTTTATAACCAGGTGAGCCGACTAGAGGCTGCAGGGAGGAGGAGGAGGAGGAAGGGAAGAAATGAAAGGCAGGGAGGTCAACCAGACGCACGTCCGGTTTGTTACCCTGCACTGGGAGAAGGGGTGAGGGGATTAAAGGAGAAGAGAGAGAGAAGTGAAGGGCAACGTGTGTGTAGATGTGACCTTGTCCATTGCACGCTTATAAGCGGTCGCGTAGTCCGGTCGTCTTTAGAAAACTTAGCAATGCCCGCGTCGCTTTGCTGGCCAGCGACGCGTAGAGCCATGAGCCAAGTATCTTCTCTTCGGAAAAAGGTCTACTGTCTAGTGTCTCCAACGTTTCGCGTAGCAAGTTGCGTTCGCTCGCAAAACGTTCACATGAACACAGTAGATGTTCTATTGTCTCGTCAGTGTCGCACGATTCACAACGGAAGCTATCCGCCATTCCTATGCGAAAAGAGTACGCCTTTGTAAAAACCACTCCTAACCACAGGCGACACAGTAAAGTTGCATCCTGGGGGGAGAGAGAGGTCCGATAGAACTTTAAGCTTTCTCGATGGATCCAATTTGTGTAGGCGGCGGTTCCTGACACTGGGGTCACTCAGCCAAGTTTCCGACATGGTGTTAGCGAACGAGTGAAGGCCCCTTGCAGCGTCGGTTCTCGACAATGGAATTGGGGTTGTCTGGGCGTCCACGTGGGCGGATCGGGCAGCATTATCAGCAAGGTCATTACCGACAATACCACAATGTCCCGGTAACCACTGGAACACCAAGTCATGTCCTTTTGATAAAACTTCGTGAATCACTTCTCTTATTTCATTCACTAGTTGTTGATGCTCCCTCTGTCGTAAAGCTGATTGCAAGCTCTGAAAGGATGCCTTGGAGTCGCAGAACACAGCCCATTTTTCAGGTCGGGCTTCCGCGATATAAAGTATAGCAGCACGTAAGGCGGCAAGCTCCGCTGCTGTGGATGTTGTCCTATGCGACAGTTTGAGCTTTATATTCACCTGGTACGCCGGGATGACAACAGCACCTGTGGAGCTGTCAGCCGAGACCGATCCATCGGTGTAAATGTGGGTCCTCTGGCCGTATTTTTCGTTGAGTAGCGACAATGTCACCTGTCGTAGGACCACTGTTGAATGATGGCTCTTGTTCGTTATTCCCGGAATAGTGAGGCACACCTGTGGTTGTTGTAGGCACCACGGGGGTGACGCTGGTCTTGTTGCTGGAGTGAAGCCAAAAGGAAGGCATTCTCTATGGGCAGAAATAATCTTTGAAAACATCGCGTGTGGTCTTTGAAGTGGCAACACTGCAACATGGTGACCAGGAACTCGGCAGAGGTGTCTTATGTGGGCTCTCAAATTGTCAGTGGGGATGTATGTTCGAATTGGATGCTCTCTTGCGATCATAATTGCTCCGTAGGTTGAGGTGCATTGCGGCAATCCTAAGCACACGCGTAGTGCTTGTCCTTGCAGACTTTCGAGAGTGCGGATGTTCGTCTTGCACGTACTTGCCAGTAACGGCAAGCTGTAGCGCGAAAATCCCAGAAACAGTGCCCTGTATAGCTGCATATACCTTATCGGTGCGCCCCAAGATTTTCCGCACAGGAACCGCATTATATGGACGATGGAAGTTAGCCTTTTCTTCAGGTAATTGCAGTGGGCACTCCACGAAAGGTCCCTGTCAATAATCACACCCAGGAAGCGATGGTTCTTCTGGTATGGAATATTTTGTCCATTGATGGTAACGGGGTATTGTGTCATGGCTCTGCGAGTAAACGCAACCAATGTACATTTCTCCGTTGAGACGGAAAGACCTTGCTTGCCGAGATATGAGCATGTCAGGGTGGCAGCCTGCTGGACTCTTGCACGTACTTGTAGACGAGTTACAGCCGAAGTCCATAGACAAATATCGTCAGCATATATGGATATGAGGATGTTACTTGGCAAAATTTCACGAAGTCTTACCATCACGAGGTTAAATAAAGTGGGACTTAATACGGCGCCCTGAGGGACGCCACGGGAGGTATAGTAATTGGTGGTAGGTCCATCTGAGGTTTGTACAAATAAGGACCTTCTCGTCAAATAATCCTGGATCCATTGGAACATCCGACCACCGATTCCAACAGCTTCCAACGAGTCTAGGATAGCTTTATGTGTTACGTTATCATAAGCCCCTTTGACGTCGAGGAAGAGTGCCAGTGGTATGCGCTTGAGGCTCTTCTGTTGCTGGATAAATGTTGTGAGATCAATCACGTTGTCAAGAGATGACCTACCTCGCCGGAAACCCGTCATGCAGTTTGGGTGTATGTTGTAGCACTCGAGGTACCATTCTAGGCGTGTAAGTATCATCCTTTCCATGACTTTTCCTACGCAACTTGCGAGGGCAACAGGGCGAAATGATGTCGAATCAAATGGTGACTTTCCTGCTTTGAGTAGTGGCACAAGTCGACTTATCTTCCAATCCTGGGGAACATTGCCCGCAAGCCATGAGTGGTTGCAATAGCTTAACAACTGTCCCCTTGCCTCCTGTTGAAGGTTGGCTAGAGCGGCGTAGATGATGCCATCGGGTCCTGGTGAAGATGATCGTCGGGAAGCCGCCAAAGAAGCGTCAAGTTCTTTTATAGTGAAAATATTGTCCATTTCGTAGATGCGGGGTTCAGGGATAACACTCCTAATGGTGCCAGCGGACAAGGCGGACACACCAGCGATTCGCGTACAAAACTCATTTGCCACTTCAAGTTGGGTGTGGCCTGAATGTAGGGCTACTAAAGCCATGAAAGGATGTCTTTGTTGGGGAGTCGAGCGCAGGCCACGAATAGTGCTCCAGATGCGTGACAACGGCTTCCGGGGATCCAATGATTCGCAGAATGATTTCCAGCGTTCCTGTTCAAGTTTGTCTAAACGTCGTTGAACTTTTTTCTGTATGCGTCGTGCCAGCCTCAAGTAGCATATTGCTTTCGTCCGCCTGTATCTTCTTTCCGCCCTTCGGCGAAGCGCGCGCAGTTTTTCCAGTTCAACGTCGAAATCTGAACGCTTGCCGGTGAACGGGAGGAGACAGGAAGCTTCCCTCATTGCCTCTTTGATGACATCCTCCAAGTTCTGGTCAGGGTCTTCACGGCATGTATTTTCCATGAGTCGCTGAAATTTGGACCAATCAATTCTTCGTATTGTGGTCTTAGGAAAGGAGTTAGTAAGACCCCTTATTCGCATATAAGTTGGAATGTGGTCACTCCCATGCGTTTCGATGTCTGAAAACCAGTGCACTTGCGACCGGAAGTTTCTGGATACCAGAGTCAAATCGAGGCAACTGCTGTACGTAAGGCCCCCCAGGTATGTAGGACTGCCATCATTGAAGAAACATAGGTCATGCTTGGAAGCGAATGACATGAGGTTTCTTCCTTTAGCGTTGATCGTCGAACTACCCCAGATTAAGTGATGTGCGTTGAAGTCTCCAGTTATAACCCACGGGCCCGTAGTTGTTGTCAGTATGTCTCGTAGTCGGTCTTGTTCAAATCGTCCGGATGGTGATATGTAGACACCAATGAGTGTGAATGACACTTTTTCCTTTTTAACACGTAAGCAGACATATTGATTGTCATCATGCGGTTGAACTGCATGATGCACATATGTGAAATCTGTGCGAATGTAAACAACCACCTTGCTGCGTTCCCCGCACGTTGAAGAAACGAAAGATTCATACCCTGATAGTTTAGGAGGTTGTTGCACGTTTGGTTCACATATAACTATCATAGGAATACGATTCATGAATATATACTGACGGAACGAAGAGATGCGGGATCTCAGGCCTCTCGCGTTCCATTGCATTATCGACGCTTGTCGGACCTCGTTGCGGAAGGAGAAAATTGGTCGAGCCATGGTTGCTACTGGAGACTTGCAAATACTGGACTTAGAGCATCCAGTACTTGTAGTGCACTCTGAGCGAGTGGAGACTTCAGGCTGCTGCACAGCTTTCGCATGGTATCCAGCAGTGTTCGGAACATTCTGATGACTTCTGTGTCCTCCTCAGGCAGCTTGTCAGCGGCTGGCTGGAGTGATGTGACTGTCGATGTGCGCTTGGGATTTGCAGGTGGCTGTGATTTCGGCAATGAAGGCCCAACTGATTCATCTGCAACAGTGCTGCTCGTTGGTTTGTTGACCGCGCTGGCCGCCTTCGGTCTGGGAGGCAAGGGCGGTGGAAGAGAAGGGTGTTGGAGTGGTGTTTTTGATGCAGCGTCTGCGGCATTCTTTGATGAACTGCGGCGACGATGACGCCTCTTTCGGACGGTCCTGGCAGCCTCTCGATGCGACGAATTGTCTCTGACCATTTGTTTCAATACCGCTACTTCTCTTTGGATTTTGGGACATTCTTTTGACGAAGCTGCATGTGACCCATGACAATTCGAGCATTTGAGGGTAGTTGCTTCGCAGTCATCCGCAGAATGGGCTTCCGCGCAACGAGGACACACTGTCCTATTTTCGCATACGCTTCTCACATGGCCCATCTTCATGCACTTATAACACTGTAAGGGCTTCGGTATGAAAGGTCGCACTGAATGCCGAAAATGGCCCACCTTTACGTGTGAAGGAAGAGAGTCGCCCTTGAACATGATCTTCAAGCAGCGTGAGTTTCCCAAACGAACAACTTTTGCGATGACGCTGGCTTCATTTTCCGGTTTGATCAGAACATCGAAGTCGGAGCTGGGAATGGCAGTATCTACATCGTAGATGACCCCAGTGACGACGTTAGAGCTCACAGGAATGTAGGAGCGAACTTTCATTCCCCCCAACTCGTTGACGTTGCGCAGTACATTAAGTGCCGCAGCATGCAAAACGTCGATGGCCAATACGTTCTTACGCGTGTTCACTCTGATGCCTGTGATCTCGTTTGGCACGAGTCCTTCCAGCATCACCGAAACAGATTGCCTATTGAGGCGCTTCATGTTACCGTCCGGTACCTCAGGGACAAAAATGATAGTGTTTGTCATGGGTCTCCTTGGCACTCTGTCGTTCAACGTACTCGATGACGGAGATGTTCTGACGTTCCGCCTCTTCGCTTTACGGCTCAGCACCAGCTTAAAATCGTCGTCGTCAGAAGACTCTTCGCTGCTCATTGAGTAAACAAGAGTGCCTTCGCTGTCGTAGTCGCGGTAGAGTCCCGTACGCTTCCTGGATGCGGCCACCGCCGACGGCGCCGTAACTGGCGGACGTCCGTGGGGGTCCACGTCCATCACCGACGGACACGGATGTGATATTCGCAAATTTCACTTAAAATTAGGTGAAAAAAGAGAGCACCTACTGAAACTGCGATCTGCTAAGCAATCACTTCGTCGTCGTCCACCGCTTTACGTTGAAATCAAAAATCAGGCTGCAGGGTACCCTCGATTGGTCATTAAGGCTGTTGCTGAAACACTGCTGCAGAATTTCAAACGTGGTACACGAGAAGCGATGGCTGCTGTATACCAAGCTCTCCAGGGTTAGACTCTAAGTTATGCTCAATATTTTTCAGCCCTCGCACATTATCAAGAAAGTCGCAGGCCGGCGTGGTGCACCACTGGTGTTTTCAGCGCCAGTGAAAATCGGTAATGTGTGCCAACGCATTTGCTATAGCTAAAGGCGTGGCGGCGAGAAGAAGCACGACATGCCTTTTGTGAAATATTTGACGGCGGACGTGTACTCGATACATCTACCCTGTGGCAGTGCGTACATCGGTCAAACTGAAAGATGCAATAATGGCCGGTTAACGGAGCCCGCCCAAAATTAACTAAAACAGGCGATGAGTGTGCGTACGTGGCGGTGCATGCTATACTGCGTGGCTGTGACGCACAATTCTCCATGACAGAGGTTCTAGACAGAAGCACAAGAGAGCCCACGTAGTGTTAGAAGCGGGTGTTTACTGAAAAGAATGAGCACTGCCGTGTAAGCGCATACACCTTCGCTATCGTTGTTAGCTGGTGAAATCAATTTCATCGACTTATGCTGTAAAAGAAAGAACGAAAGAAAGGAAACAAAATTTACGTTTTTATAGTATGTGCCGTCGGCTTCTACGATGTTTGCTCACATGTGTCACATGTATCTATTCAATATCAATGAGAGCTAATAGGCAATGATAGACAATGGCATCATTGTCTGAAATCATTGTCTGACTGCCAGCCCGTGTCATCATTGCCTGTTAGTTCTCACAACCATGGTGTCTAACAAAAGAAACGGCCCGTTAAAAATTTACACTTCTTTCCTTAACGTATATATTCAAAGCATTTGTGCGATGAATAAACCACGTGAGGGCCAGGAGTGTAGGGCAAAATTTTTTGGGCGGCGGGCACTTCTTTGATATGTGGGGGCCTAACTTTGAAATGGTCAATTTTCGCTCTGTATGGGCCATGGCGAAAAAAAATCGGCACGTGTTTGGTGTGTTTACCCCTAAGCTGCGCCACTGGTGAGCGCTGCACGTAGTGTGTACGTGAATGTGCGGCATACTTGCGTTCTAACTATTTTTGATAAAGTGTGAAATAAAGGATTTCGAGAGTACTTCACAATGGTCGTACTCCTATGTCCCCAGGAGGAGCCTCCGGAGTACAAGTTAAGCAACGTGAAGACCGATGTCGGAATCTTCTGGAGTCGTGGTGATCAGTTCGTGCCACCGGCGAACGTGCGAGAGCTTATCAAGGACCTCGGTCCATTGGTCAAGAAGAACCACTTCATCGACGACCCATACTACACGCACATACATTTCGCCATAGCTCTTAACAACCCCCGACTGTTGTACAAGGACTTGCTCGAGTTCCTAGATCAATACGCGACGTCTTCTTAAGTATGCTTTGTAGTGTGTGTAAGTGTGCTGAAGTACAATATGAAAGGCGTGCCACGTGGCCTCGAAATGAAGCCACGTGGACGCGCTTGAATTTTGTTTATTTTGGAGGAGGCTACACGGCAAGTTAGTTTCTTCGGGGAGGAGGGGAGAGGGAGGAAGCGAGGCTGCGTATATAAACGATCTTTGATGAATTTTCTTTTTCCACAAGTGATTTCGGTTTTACGATATAGTGAACACAAAATTAGTAAACCACTTACGCATAGTGATCTGTTGTCGAGAGAACAACAGGGGGGAGGCTGGTGAAAATTTGGGGAGAGAAAAGCGGCTGGGCCCGCCTCCTCCCCTCCTGCTTACTTTCAGCACCATCTCTGCACGAAGCTCTAACGGCTGTCCCAACAAATCTGACATTTACGATCAATTGTCTGTTGCTTGAGTAGTTTCGTAGGTGTAAACGCATCAATTGTGGACGTTTCAAAATAATAGCATGCAGAACGACAAAGCTTTCTTACTGCTTACACTTGAAACGGAAAGTAGTGCGACAAAATGAAAAAAAAAAGTGGTGGAGGCATACGTCACGTAGTTTCATATGACGTAGTCTTAAGATGTTGTTTCACAAAATAGGCATAAATAATTGCAGGAATAGCGTAAGGTATGTGGACCTATATACTAGCAAAACAGCGAATTGTGAAGTCCAACATACTACGAACCACCATACTATGAAGTTAGGAATGTGGAAACTATGTTTTATTCGGAGTAGCTGGTCGGTCGACGAGCTACTACGATGGATTGCCAAGAAAAAAAAAAAACAACACACTGTGAAGTTTCAGTAGTGAGCAACAAAGATTTGTGAAGACACTACTTGCCTAAAGTAAAGTTATAGGTTGGATTAGTCGATTTCTGTTAAAGTTCATGTTAAACTTTATGATGCGCATATAAGACGTTTCCCCTCTGGTAACATCGAGTATTATTAGCATTCGGCCCTTGTGATCGGTCGCATTTTATTTATTTTGCTCTAGCGAACATAAACCTAGCTCAGTGGCCACTGCTGTGTTGACGGAAAGAATAAGTTTCTCACAGTTGTCCAGAAAATTAGGTTGACACTTGTTTGCACTATACGTTGTTCCTAAATGCCATTATTACTGGGACGTTTTGTATATTGAGAACGTATTTGTCTCGAAATGTACGAAGCTTATGTATATATTGTACTTTGCAATACTAATTAGGTTTGTATAAAAAAGAGTGTATATTTTTCTTCCCCTTAGTTAGCAGAAGCGTCCCGACAGAGAAATTACCTGAGTAGTTTCTCGTGTCAGTTTTTGTGTGCATATTTGTAGAAAAAAAGAGACAAACATGATGAAACGGTGAACACCTCGGTTTGTGTGAAGCCTCTGTTATTTACCTTCATAGCACGAGCCCTGCCTCTGGAAGTCTATAAAATGCATTATGTAACAAAATTCAATAAAAATGCTTTCGCACATTTCTCACAATTAGCACGCAATTACAAAAGAACAATGCTCCGCATAAGAGAGAACTTTATACTGCTAGAAAGGAGCAAGATAAGTGACCGAAATACTTGAAAAATTAAAAAAAAACATTGTATATAAAAGAACCTCGCATAGGAACCAGTTTGCAGGGTATGCGAGTCTCTTACAGATTTTACGTGAAGCCATAACAGTACTTGTTGAACTACATGCTTTAAACATCTTACAATGAAAACTCACGTCTGAAGCGCTGTGTTTGTATATATGTATGTGGTGTTTTCGACAGCGAGAGTGGTCATTTATGCCTTCATATTATTCTTGAACATGGTGAATAAATGCAACAATGGTACAAGAGATGTTCTATAGTTTCGTAATCCTAGCTACCGCATTACACTTCATCACGCACTGGAGTGGAGCGAGCGCTCTACCGAAGAGCCATCTAGGCGGCACTCCGAGTACTAGCGTGGCTACAACGACAGACAAGGGACAAACTCCGACCATATGCTGCTTTGCTTCCAATAAAACACTTCTTTCCCAGCCGCATGTGTTGTGTTTGAATCAACTTGGCCGGGCGGCTACGTTTATAATGTGGACTGGAGCCACAATTTTTAGTGGCTGTATTTCCTGGATAATTTGGAACATGTAGCACATTAACACTTTGAGACCTATGCACAAATTCAATTTTGTTAAGTCTCATACACATATATTGAGCATTTAGGGCATTAGGTGGGGTAATATGTAACGTGAAAATGTTTCAAAATATATAAAATAGAGTGGTCAATAAAAAACAATATGATAGGACACGTAGAAAGTGTAGTATAGGAAACGAGCATGTCAGTTATGTAGTTAGAAAAGAAAGGAGATATGTACGCAGTTTACCATTACACCAGAGGAAAGAAGGCTCGACTCTTGACCATAGCTGGTATTTGCTAAGTTCAGATGAAGGACTGTAAATTACAACCACCCGGACCATTTAAAGTGAACTGAGAACGTTTAAACTAAATGGCTTCAAGTATAAGTAGCTCACTCATCCTAATCTAGCATATTTAGAAGCAAAAGCATAGTTTCGCTACGGGAGCAACAAAAGACTGATGGTGTTTTTGTGTAAATGGTAATAATACTAACTGATGGGGTTTAAAGACCCAAAATCATGGGTGTAAATGGTAGCCGTTGAGTTCAGCAAACGTACAACGTCCTCTTTTCCCGGAAAACTTTCTTGGCCTTAAAGGAAATGCTACGAAATGAGTGCTGCCGCTAATAATGGTGGTCCGACAAGCGTGTCCTGGTTTTTTACGTCAGAAATAAAACGATAATACTTCATCTTCAGCAGCATAAATTTGAATAAAGTGGCAGCCCACGCTTGTTACTTATCTTTATTTTACATCGTTAAACATATGCTAAGCAAACTTTATCATATCAAATACCTTATCTACTCCTCGAAAATAGCTATTTCCGTGAACTTTTGAAAGAACATAACACTAAAAACAGTGTGAAGAAAGAAGTTAAGATGTACTTCCTTACTTGTAAGGAGCCCTAATTGTATTATTTATTATAAATGTTTCTTTTGCGTCATTCGTGCTTTTGCATACATGATGAAAGTTGCTCAATGTCTTTCTTTCAAATGTATTTCTTATGGGTACTTAGCAATTTTGTCAGAAATTTCGCCTTAATTAGTTGCATTTTTAATATATATTTTATATTGATACTGCTGATAGGTGATGAATGTAATGTGTTATTTTGAAACGTATGTGTCGACATCTGTTATACTTCCTGAATTTGAATTTTGTGTCCCCTGATTCAAAAGCAGAATGAAATTTTTATCCTTTGTTCCACTTCACCTGAGCAAATGTACGGGTGGAGGCACCTTATAGTCAGGCAGAGGTAACCTGCCTTTAGTCTCCTTAAACCTAGGCAACCTTTGTTTTCGTCTGAATAAACAGTGAATAAATGAATGAATGAATGAATGAATGAATGAATGAATGAATGAATGAACACTCCACGTTGTTGCATGTTTCAGAAGGTCGCACCATATAGAGTTAGCCCGCAGCATAAGTGGCGTCTGCGTCTTCACGCGAGCATCCACCAAGTATGGCTTTTCCGTCTGCTCACCTTAAAAATTTCTGACAAACGCAACACACAAATGAAGTTTCTTGGCAGGGAGACAAATGACATACGCCGTTTATGTCAGAAATTACCATTGTGTAAATTAAGGCAAATGAGTAATAAACTTTTATCGGTAACTACAGAGTATTTACTAAACTCTTACGCTCTGGTAAAACAAGATTTGATAGACACCGCAAGGAATTACGTCCACCCCATAGGATCTAGTTTTACCTGCATTAGTTGAAACGCTATCTACATGAACAATAGTTCATATTGTCACAACGGTACATTGGCGAACAGGGGACAGCCTGTCAATTAAACAGTTATCGTGCTGACACGACAAAGAGATTACCGTAAGCAGTGGCACAGCATTTCAATGTACCGGGACAAAACTTCGGGGATCTGAAACTTTGCATGCTTGAGTCAAACTTCGGTTGAGCAAGACAGGAAAAGTATGCAGAGTCATGCGTTACTCACAAGTTCTAGACACTCCTGTTGTTGCAGAACTAAGAGCCCCTCAATTCAAGGTGGGCGCATTAAAGCCCCTCTAGCCATCGTATTCGGTGCAACCTAGCAGGGCTATCCGCAGTTGCTTTCACCTTCAGAGCATTTTAAGTATGCCGTTACTTTGACGGAATTTTAGAGAAATGGATCACAGGTACCGTTATCTATATTCTTGGTTCAGTGTTTATTTATTCTGTGCTTATAGCATCAAGCATATGCAACATAGTGGAATTCCCATGGGAACACATCAGTGTTACCGTGTATTTCTACACAAAGCTATAGCAGACAAAATTCTAGAGAATACTTGAGTTTTTGCTTCATATATTCGAAATAAGTGGCAGTCTCCGTTTGAAGGCCAATCGTTTGATAAACGAGAGAACAAAAAAATATACAGAAGGCCCACACACAAAAAGATACAAGAATACACATAAAATTAAGTCATCAGTGCGAATAAAATTGACCCTGCGAATAAAGAAGGTCGCGAATAACAACGCAAGTATTCCAAGCCTACACCACGTTGCGGTAAAGCAGGTGCTTCAAGATTGGCAAATTTTGTGCTGGCAATCTCTGAGGCCATAGAGTTCCCGGAAGTAGTGTTTTACACTGCGGGAAGATAGCAGCACTCCGCAGGCGCGCTTGTTTCAAAGGAGGAGGGGCAGCTTTATTTTGAACATGGCGCACTGCCTGCTCTACTGGCATTGACTTGGCAATCTTGATATCAAATTTGAGGCGCACGTAATCCGCATCATACCGCGTCTGGCAGAGATAAGCAACCACGCGATGGTTTCGAAGAATACCTTTGCACTTTATTTTTATAGTTTTTTTTTCTTTTGAAGCGCTGTTGTCTGGGGACTTTCCAACAAAAATTGATTGTATCGCTCATACCTTTGAGCCGGCTTCGGGCTGGCCCCTCAATGCGGGTAGGAAAGGCATATTTTTGTTGAACACATCAGCATACTTCATTAGAAAATAATCACCGTAATGTGGTTACGGAAGTCCACCAAACACTTTCACGACAACGGACAAAGGCCACCACCGCCTTTCTCAAGTGAACGAAAAATGCATTGCAGGGATGGCAACCTTGAAAAAGGAAAACGCGTACTTAAAGTATCGCATGCCGCATAGTGACACCGACGGTTACATAAATAGACAGCGCTAATAAGCTTAACCTACTATACATATTTTATTGAAAATATCAAGAACTCTTCGCAATACCTCATCACAAAGCATAAAAAAAAACACACTTCTGGGGAAATCCTTACACCAGGTTTCTGGCTACGTACAAAAAGCGTTGTTAGTTAGAAGAATCCCGACGGCTGTTTTAAACATGTTTGGGGGTCTAAAAAACAGAAAAGCTGAAAATTGAAGTTTTATGGGAAGTAATGGCGGCAGCTAAATATTGTGGTTCTTATTCCTGTCAAAGGAAATTTCGATTTCATAGAGTACTACGGAAATCCAGAGACCTATAGAAATTTCACCCTGCCATTCTCCTAAAAGCAAAAGCTGTGTCCCGTCTTACATTTCTGGATATTCTATCCGTTCATGTATATTAAACCTTTGTGATGTGGGATTATAACTTTGCAACAAAAGAGAACGGCATCTAGATCGGATCCTGCGTAAGCCCTTGTTATGGCGATCTATATTTGACTAATGTCGACAGGCTTCATAGTAGCCGCCTAGACAAGGTATGCCGTTGGTGTGCTTAGGCTTTTTTTCTTCAGGTATTAGTAAATATTTTCACAAGATGAAGCTACTTATGTTGCACTAAATGTTTAACATCAATTTTTCCACACATTCCTATCTTTCCTACTGAAAGCTTTGTGGTATTACTCACGTATGTTAAACCATGTTCTGAGATGCCCATATTTACTGTGATTGTTGCTTCCAGGTTCAGTAGGGATCTTCAGGGAGCCATTCAAGCTACGCAGCATCATTTCTCCATGAAGACTATCGAAAACTTCGTTGAAAAATAAAATGCTTGATTTATAGGCTGAAAAGTGCCAAATAGATTGTCTTCAAGTAGTAGTCGTCAAACTATAAATACCATCGTTATTTACGTATGCATGAAGACTACAGCACACTGAATGAAAAACGTGGGACTACAAAGCAAGCCAGCAAAGACCGAGCTTTGAAATTGAACAAACCAGGTCCTTGACTACAATAATTTACGACCACACGGAAAGAAAATTCGTGAATGGCAACGCAGACACCGCACGCCTGCTACGCGTGGTGGTTAAAGCAGGCGCTTCAAGAACAACTATCTAGAGCCTGCGTCTAGCAGCGATAAGCACGTGCAGCGATCATTTGGCAAAATACGTTTCCGCTTTTTTGTTCTTTTTTTTCTCCTTCTGCACAGCTCTTGTTTAGCGACTTCCTCACAAATGTCGATTGTTTCGATGTTTCCTTGGAACCGGCATCGGGCCTAACCCCCGTATTCTAGAACGTCCCTTCACTCAGGCTTCACCTTCACTTGAGAAAACCGATGGAAGCGCCATCTCCAGGGACGGCAAGTCACTGCATATCGGCGATAATCTGCTGTCATTCTTGAGTAGCACAACGTCATTTTCAGCTGAGTGGTGTTGCAGTACTCAACTCTGTCAAGTGAAGGGTGAAAGTCTAATCGAGGAGCGTTTGTGAATACGGGGGTAAGTGACGGTAGCAAAGGGATATTTTTGTGGTACACATCGGCACACCTCCTTAAGAAATTATTCATTTAATGTGGATACGGAAGTGTAGCAAAGCTTTTCAGGAGAACGGCCTACGGTCACCACCACCACATTTCTCAAGGGAAGTGAAAAAAAAATATATATGGTGCAGGGAAGGAAACCTTCCAGAGGAAAAGGCATTCCTGCCGTTACGCATGCCTCGACGCCGACGGTTACTTAAACGAACAGGACAAAGAAACATGAGCTTTACGATGCCCACTTTATTGG